TAGGTTGGAGGCCATCGCTACTAGGTTGGAGGCCATCGCTATCAGGTTGGAGGCCATCTCTATTTAGTGAAAGGCCACCGCTATTGGGTCGGAAGCCATCGCTATTAGGTTGGAGGCCATCGCTATTAGGTTGGAGGCCAATGCTATTAGATTGGAGGTCATCATGGTCATCACCATTAGGTTGGAGGCCATTGCTACTAGGTGGGAGGCCATCGCTCGTAGGCTGGAAGCCATCGCTATTAGGTCTGAACCCAACGCTCTTAGGTTGGAAGCCATCGCTATTAGGTTGGAGGCCAACGCTCTTAGGTTGGAAGCCATCGCTCTTAGGTTGGCAGCCATCGCTTTTAGGTTGGAATCCATCGCTCTTAAGGTTGGAGGACATCACTCTTAGGTTTGGAGGCCATCGCTATTAGGTTGGAGGCCATCGCTAGTAGGTTTGAGGCCATCGCTCTTAGGTTGGAAGCCATCGCTACTAGGTTGGAGGCCATCGCTCTTAGCCTTTGGAAGCCATCGCTCTTAGGCTGGAGGCCATTGCTATTAGGTTGGAAGCCAACGCTCTTAGGTTGGAGACCATCGCTCTTAGGTTGGAGGCCATCGCTCTTAGGTTGGAGGCCATTGCTATAGTAGATTGGAGGCCATCCCAATCGCCATTGGGTTGGAGGCCATGGCTGTTAGGTTGGAAGCCATCGCTATTAGGTTGGAAGCCATCGCTATTAGGTTGGAGGCCATCGCTATTAGGTTGGAGGCCATCGCTACTAGTTAAAGGCCATCGCTACTAGGTTGGAGGCCATCGCTATTAGGTTGGAGGCCATTGCTATTAGGTTGGAGGCCATCCCTACTAGGTTGGAGGCCATCGCTCTTAGGTTGGAGGCCGTCGCTATTAGGTTGAAAGCCATCGCTATTAGGTCGGAGGCCATCGCTACTAGGTCGGAGGCCATCGCTATTGGGTTGGAGGCCGTCACTATTAGGTTGGAGGCCATCGCTATTGGGTTGGAGGCCATCGCTATTAGGTTGGAGCCCCTCACTATTAGTTTCCTTAAAGTCTTTTTTCAACAAAGAAAGCTCCACGCATCGGCTCGGGCTTATTTTGAAGGCTCGGGCCATTGGATCAAGTGCCGGCCGATGAGGCTGATGAGGCCGCTGCTGCGAAAACAGGTTCAAGTAGACCCACAAAAATGTCGAAGCAAAAGGCTTGGATTAACATGTTACTTGTAGCTTCTTGCTACTAGTACCAATGCACTTGCTACTAGTAATGATGCACTTGTTACCAGTAGCGATGCACTATTAGTAAACGTACACAAGTTCGATTCAACTCTTAGAAGAGCACCTTCCAGTCAAGATTTACTCTATAAATCTCTCGTTACGAGGACAGGCGTGTCAGAAGCTCAATGAGCACCTTGGTCAAAGTTCCAAAGACAGGCAGAGTCAATAGCGTAGACAGACTGTCTCAGCCGGATTGACACAATGATAGTATGAGTGCGTTCTATTCAGAATGTCATATCTTGTTTCGCTCTTTGCTGATGTCAGAACATGGAATGGAGAACGAAAGCCTTGAAAATTGTGTCGGTTGAAATTTCGTGTCTTGCCTAGGAGGCATACAAATTGATCTTGTGTGTCTTTATTCCCTTCTATAGTGCCTTTGTAATTTTGAGTCAATCACACACACGGCAAGCGAGGAACCTGTCATGTCGTGTGGTTGCTTTTGATGCTGAAGTCTGGTGTTGCTTGTGCGTCAGGGTATGCCTCTTTGATTGCTACAAGGACAGAAGGCTTCCCTTGTCAGTAGTGTTGAAAGCTGCCAAGGCGCATGAGGAGGATATTGGGAGGTTGAAGGACACGGTCTTGTGAATTCCACTGGAGGTCTTCACAAGTTTGCCACCCTGGATGTGAAGCAAAAGCATTCACAAGCATTATAAATAAACGTGTGTGGCTTGGAGGCCATCGCTACTAGGTTGGAGGCCATTGCTAGTAGGTTGGAGGCAACTGGAGGTCTTCACAAATGTGTGTGCGTGTGCTGGGGCGCCCGCCTTTGGGAGGCTAGACTTTGCATGCACTTAGTGAATGTCATAGTACAAAGCTTCCCCCAGACCCTTTCCCCTCCTTCATGCTAACCACCAAACCTGAGGCCCCAAGGCTTTCGTTTTAGAAAAGCTCAATGTAGCATAGTAGTGCGTCCCCAAATTGAACTGAACTATATTTTTGTCCAACTACAAGTCCTAGGAATGACAATTCGGGAACGTACCAGCTGATTCAACGAACAACCTTGGAGAAGTCTTGGCACGCCTTGTTCTGCCTTTCAGAGCCTTGTTGGGGTCTTCTTGGCAAATCCGTGGCCCTTGTCCGCCTCTTCATCCTTCTCAGCTGCGGACGAATCACCGTCCTCGAATGGACACACTATTTCACTGAGGATCCTCAGAAACCTGTAATAACATTTTGCAAGTGAAGTGAGACATACTGGACTCAGTTGTATTGTCACACGATCTTGCCAGGACCATTCAACTGGACTGCGTCTTCTGGCGCATGCCCTCGTCCTCCACAGCAGGAAGTGAATCTGCCTCCTTGCGCTTGGATGCTCGTATGTCCTGACACGAGAGCACACTCTGACAAAGGAGGTTGCTGGTTAAGCACTGGAATTCTGACTCAAAGTACTAGCTCACGGTTTGTGGGTGGAAACATATTAGTTGCTCACCCAACGGACTAGCTGCAGCTCGCAGGGCTCGTGCGCCTTGCTGTAAGTCAAATGCAGAAAGCCTCAGAGTGGCTGCATTTGCTCGGTGTTCTTTATGAACCTACTAGCGATGGCCTCCGACCTACTAGCCATGGCCTCCAACCTAAGGGCGATGGCCTCCAATCTACAATAGCGATGGCTTCCAACCTAGCAGCGATGGCCTCCAACCTAATAGGGATGGCCTCCAACCTAGCAGCGATGGCCTCCAACCTTTTAGGGATGGCTTCCAACCTAGTAGCGATGGCCTCCAACCTAGTAGCGATGGCCTCCAACCTAAAAACGATGGCCTCCAATCTACTAGCGATGGCCTACTAGCCATGGCCTCCAACCTAAGAACGATGGCCTCCAACCTACTAGCGATGGCCTCCAACCTAAGAACGATGGCCTCCAACCTAAGAGCGATGGCCTCCCACCGAGTAATCTTGCATTTGTTACTGAAAATGCATGGTTTCTTGGTTATGAAAAGGAATGCCACCCGCAACAGCAAGAGGGTGACTCGCTGATGTTTGCTGTTGTTCGCTGGTGGGAGCCTGGGTGGGCCAAGGTGGCACCCACCGCTGCCAAGGTGCTGTATACAATGAGGGCAATGGTGGCACTGCAAACGGTCACCCATGCAATGGAACGGCCCAAAGCCTTGGAGCGCAGTGACCAGGTGTAGAGCTTCGGACGTGTTCGATTTGTCAACACATGTCTCGTTCTTCTTTTAGCTGGCTCCTACTTAACTAAGTAAGGAAGCAAGCTACTAGGCTAAGTGAGCTTCTGGGTAGGACGCAGGATAGCTCACGCTTCTTCAAGGAAGCTCCCCCGCCTGAGGGCGTGGAAGAGCTTCCTTGAAGAGGCGCTCAAACCATTCATTTGGTTTCTAGATTGTTATCAGCTTTGTCATGGTTCATTCAACGTCAATTCACTGCATGTCATTTCCTCAAGGAAGACATCGGAGTCCATGTCAACAATGCCAGGCTGCCAAAGCATTCGTGGTGCGAAGCTCTGTTGGCATGTTCTTGATGGGCTTGTTGGTGCTGGCAGCATCCGGGCCCATTGTAGTGTCTAGAAGTATATAGATGGCTGTCCACTTGGGAATTGTGATGGGAAGATGATTCAAGTTAAAAGCTTGTCTTGAAATTCAGGTATGTGCGCAGATCACCACAGAGTTTGAGATGAAGGATACTGATGGAAGCAAAAACAATAAGACGTAGTCCACGTGAGACATTCGGGGAGGCAGGGCAATGCAAGCAAACCAGGGGACTCGTTGGAAAACTGCTGAAAACATGACCGACACGTGTTTACTGACACACGTCACACGCCTGATGTAATGAAAGAAGTGCTGCGTAATAAAGCCCACAACTGGTGTGCTAGCCTCAGCAAAGCAAAAACGCTCTTGCAGTAAGGTCAAAAGGCAACAAACAAACAAACAAACAAACAACCGTTGTTCCAAATCAAAGACCTGAGGCGAAAACAATGGAGGCAAATGCCCCATCAATTGCCGCTCCCAATGCAACTACCTATGAACAGAATGGTTCTGGCGAAGTGACAGCAATTCTTCTTTGGCTCGAGTGATCTAATATGGAAACACAGAAGCGCACCTGGGCAATCATGTGAGGAGGGACAATCTCCGCATAAAGCGGCTTAATCACCTGAAGAGTAGAAAAGCTGATACGACAAATGATACATTGAATATGCGGCCTGAAGAACCACCCTCAGACCCTAAGGCTAGCTATCACATCAAATGCTCTCTCACGGCACCACATGCCCCATTCTAGCAACTCCAAACTTGATGATATGTTTTGAGTGTTTTTGTGCTGTTCCATAACACAAATGTCCCTACATTTAAGGTTGCCCAAATTGGTCCAATGAAATGCTACATCTACATGCTTCTTGAATAACTTCAGGCACAATCTAGTTTGAGAACTAGGCTCCCGGACTCCGGCATAGCACATGATGGAAAGAAAGCCAAACATGAAGCTTAAGGCTGACCTGACAGACTCACAGAATCTTGAAAACACGCACGAACGGAAGACTTTTCTGCAGTTTCTTTCGGAACATCTTTAACCACTTGGCTAAGCAACATGCTTGCATGCACTCGTATAAAACCCGAATGAAACACGTACGAATCAAAGCGGCAAACTCGATCAGAATTGCTGGAATCCAAAACTTGTAAAGAAAGGGAGAACAGGGCTCACAAGTGACTCACAAGTTGTCAAAACTTGATTCACACTCAATATCTGTGTCAAGGCTTACATGTGACTGTGGAGGTCGCACCTGTGAAAAAAGATCTGGTAGTCAGTAGGCCTGCAACGAGCGAGGAAAAGGACCGAAAGGAGATGGCATCTCTGCCGAAGTTGAGTTGTCTGAAATTCTACTTGGAGTCTTTTTCCGTCACAATGCGTCTGCTTTGCCAAAGCTTTGTCAACCTCAGCCATGCCAGTCCAGTTGAAGAACAGCCATGCCTGGGTGGCTCCGTGATTACCTTGGCTGTCAAAAGGAGTGTCACACTACACAAGTCTCTGGAATCTAGAATCTAGAACAGTACTGATCAAGAAACCAAAAGTCTTTGCGTGACTTCAAGGTACAAATGTCAATAGAAGCACCCAAATCTTCAGGAAGTCAGAGGCTTGACCAAACAGAATGCGGCCATGCCTGCGAGACGAAGGCTCTCTGACTTTCCTCTTGAAACGAAGGTTGGAATGTGATGAAACACGTTGTCTTGTACCCTTTTGCTTTTCTCTATTTTTTGTCACTGGAAAACTTTGTGATGCGGTCTGCCCCACCTGGGCCATAGCTGGGCCACGAAATCCGCGATATGGCCACCGCAAACTGCACCGAAAATGCTGCCCAACGGCGCCTCGGAAGTTCTCGGACAAAATGGACATCGAAAAAACTGCAGCGAAATGAAGTGCAAACTATAGTTCAAGTAGAACTTTTTAGGGAAGCGGAAATAGCAAATTCAGGCCTACGAGAGCCTAGAGCCATGAGCTGTTCTTCCATCTTCCACCTTCCATCATATCTGAAGCCATGGCTGCACAGGCAATGCTGGCTGCACTTAGATCGCTGAAGCCAAGGTATTGGTACCACATCACCTGGTACTGCATGGCCTCACAGCTGTCAGGTCTGAGGACTCCAAAGCAAGATGCGTTTCGCACACAAGCGAGTCCAAGTCTTGCAACACCCAATCAGCATGCCTTTACGGTGGTACTGGCGAAAGCACCTTGAGTGATCCTCGGGCAAAGCAATGCAGTTGCCAGCACCGGTACTCAGCAATGATGCATTGATTGTCCGTTGATGTTGAATGTCTATATATATGCGTAACAATAGTAGTAAATACATAAATAGACAAAGAAATATCTAAATATATAGATACACAGTTGATTTATCAGAATAATACAGTGAACATCAACACAAGGGGTCTGCGCCCACACAACTCGCTAAAGTACCACAACCATATACACAACATGGTGCTTGATCACAAAAGCTCCATGTCTTCAGGACACTGTCGTGCACTTCCAAACACGAATGATGATGCAGTCAGCACAATATACGTATGATAATATACGTATGAAATACGTGTCACCCAGTTGTTCCTTCATGTTCCGTGATATGCCACCATTATATACATCCATGGACTGCCAAAGTACCAATCTTGAAGTGAAAGTGACCTCATGTTGATCGCTTCTGTTCGTCCTATATTGGGACAGGGGGTGCAAGGTTTGACCCACATCCAAATACACATCATTGAATGCGCTAGAAAATAACACAATTCAAGCTGTATTGCCCTGACAATCTTCAAAGCACTCAGAACAGAAGTTCATAGATATGCAAGCCGTCATTAAACCTACCAAGATGGTTTCATCAGTGCTGTAATTACAAGTTGAAGAGGAATTCCATCAGAACTACACATTGAAGTACACAACTCTCCCACTGTCTGCCACTAGATTCTCAAGCGGAGAATTCTACGAGGCACGAGCGTTGAATGCCCTGCAAGCCATCTCTCACCTGCCAAGCTGCAACACCCAAAATGATGGGCGTCTCAGCATGAAGCCAAAGTCCTGCAGGAAAGTGCAAAAAGAAATCATCACTGATAGCGATGGCCTCCATCCTACAAGCAATGGCCTCCAACCTAGTAGCGATGGCCTCCAACCTAGTAGCGATGGC